TTGGTCTCGTATATCGGCTGACAGGTTAAAATGCCATATTTTAAATACCACTTCGCTCATCCACAGCATTGGGGAGGGGCCGGGCACGCTGATCCCCCACTGGCTTTTCGAGCCTCCTACAAAGTAGATTCTACTTTACCTTCCCTGGTGGTGACCCTCCCAAGGGCGAAATATTAGAGAGTTATGGCTCAGCCAGTTACAAGCGTGCCCACCCTTAGCCTGAATTTCATCCGATTACTTCGCTGAGAGGAGAAAACTACTCCAAGCAATCGGATGAAATTCAGGCTAGCCCAACCTCCTACCATGAAAGGTCTTCGATGGGTGGGGCATTTCAATGCAACCTTTCCCTAGAAAACGAGAGGGTCGCGAAAAGGCCCTGGAAGTACGGCGTACTTTGCCTTAGAATCTAATGTATGCAACTCGGCCGCTGGTTTCAAAAGCAAACAAAAAAATTACCACGGCATATCTGTTACAAAGAAAAAACCCCGTAAACTACTCGTTACTCATAAAATATCTTTAAAGGTCGCCTAAGATCGCGCGCTGTGAGGTTACGCCATCGGTTACGAGGGGACACGTGACTAGGCGATACCGACGCCTTTTCCCGCCCCTCCCTTTTTTTTTTTTTGACTTAAGCCGGAAAAGCCCGGGGGGTTGACGTTCGGGGCATTTGTCATTGTTAAATTTCATATTTTCTACCACTTTTAAAAAGGAAAATCTGTCAAATTCTCTTCAAATTCTTCGCAACGTTTTCATAAAATGGTCTTACAGACTTTTTCTGTAAAAGGTTGCTCTTTTCTCGGGCAAACAGAAATTCTACACTAGCTGTGCTTATCGTAAGGCAACTCACGCTGCAGGACTTGCAGCACACTCTGAAGTACGAAGCCTCTTTAGTCTCGTCACGCAAAGCTCCACCCAAGAAGTAGTTAGCTTTTTGGGGAGGAGCATTGCGTACATGACAAACCTGGGCAAGCCCGTGAATTTGACTTAACCATTATGGACGACTTTCAAAATTATCATTGAGGCAAGGAATTGTAATCTCCCCCTAGATGAAACAAAAAACAAGGAAAAAAAATTGAGTTTTTTTTTTTTTTCCCTTCAACACTAGTATGGGTATGAAGAGATTAGCAAGATACTAATGAGCTTTTTATCAGCGCGGAACTTTACAGTTTTGATACTTCTCAAGAAATAAAACATTGAGGCCATTTGGATTAAAAAGGAGAGTTTTTAGGGGGTGGAGATTGACCCTCCCTCCTCCATACAAATAGAAATCAAGCCATTGAAAGGAAGATTTTTTTTGTAAATGTATTGCAAGACATTTTTTCAATTCTCTGCTCTGTTTATTTAAATTTACTGCTTAGCACACACTTAGCAAACAAATAAATCCCCAAATCTTATTAACAGTACTATGATTTTTTGTAGCCTACGTAGCTGGGTGTGGTAAGATTATGTCAGTTAATGCCCTCCAGTACCTTGCGCGTAACATGTCGTTTCAAATGGTTTCCCATCAGTTAATTTTATCATGCTCATGATCTACGTAAATCTAAAGGAAATATTTGGGCACTTTTCATGGAAGTTGTGACTGGTAGACTGATAAGGACTCGAGGTACCACGTGTGCTCAAATTTATACTTCTCAAATTCGGCATGGAAACCACTCTAGCTCCTGCTACACATAAGAACAAGCTACCTTGCCGAAATTTGAAATGCGTTCCAGGGCATTTTCCAGAGGACCATTCCGCCTATACTAGAAAGTACGAGACTTTCAAAAAAAGTCCTTCGTCGGCCTCGCTCCGCTCGCTTAAAAAGTAGTGATTTGTGACTCGTTGACAGTTTGGCAAGTTTAGCACCTATACGTTTTGTATGCGCTCCCACAAAACCTAAATCAAAAAGCCGAAAACCTGATTAAACGGCCGCAATTTCAAAGCCTGCATGATAATGAGCGAACATACTCGCGCGGTACTCGCGCGCATTTATTCTTCCTTTCCCTTTCCGTCCCGTCCCGTCCCGTCCAGGATCGGAACTCCTGCGCAACTTTCCCGCCATTTTTGATATGACGTATAATTCAACTTATGTTGCCTGGCAACATACGTCATCCTGACGTGTGAAACGGACAAAACGCGTGCTCATCAGTTGTTGTCGTCATTTTTCAGTTGGTCTTCTTGGTAGGAGAGTCGTTACTTCTTCTGCGAGAAAACTTGCTCACTTTTCGCCGCTTTAACTTGAACAGCCTTTTGAGAAACAAAGAATTCCACAATGGTTAGTCGGCTTGATTTAGTAATAGTTACTGTGAAGAAAATAATATGATAACAGATCTTCCAGGATACGAAATTTTGCTACTGCATATGTAAGCTACCTTTATACATGCTTACTAAACTTAAACTGTTTTGATTTTACGTTCATTCATTTTTTTCAATGATTTTTTTGTTTGTTTTGTGATTTGCTAAATAAAGCCTATTTTTCCTCGAGGTGAAACGGCGTAAAAAATTTGAGGTTTCGATATGTGAACTGTAAGTTCTGCCAATGTTTGTAAGTTGCGTTGACATCTACATAACTTGTTTGTTTGCTCGTGATTCTTTTTGCACAGCGTGAGTGTATCTCAGTTCATGTCGGCCAAGCGGGAGTGCAGATTGGTAATGCGTGTTGGGAGTTGTACTGCCTGGAGCATGGAATTCAGCCTGATGGCCAAATGCCAAGCGACAAGACCATAGGAGGCGGAGACGATTCCTTCAACACTTTTTTCAGTGAAACCGGAGCGGGAAAGCACGTCCCTCGCGCCGTTTTTGTAGACTTGGAACCAACAGTTGTAGGTAAGCCCAGAACAAGTTTATCGTTACGATAATTTTGGGCTGAATTTTACAGGGAGAGCCGAGAAAAAGAAGGAAAAGCAAGCACGATGGGGAAGCTTACTAAACTTTTAGTAGATGATGTAGTGTCCTCGCCTTCGTAAATAATATTTACACTATTTGATTAAAAAAAGAACTACCCAAATGCTAGAATGCTGAAATGCACGATAAAAAATAAGCACATATAGAGGAAAATTCGGTATCTTCTTGTGCATCCAGCCCCATTCACACCAACTAAACATGTTTAACCAGGTTTTAAAAAATGAAAAACGGCCATGGAAAACTGAAACTGACAAGATTTCACGCAGGATTCAAATGGAATTCAACATGTTTTGTAATTTGCACTAAATTTGCAAGTTAAGTTTGTTAAGTTAGTTAGCAGCTTCTATGAAGGAAACAAAATTCAAACCATGTTTAGCTATTAAGCAGCTTTTGAACATGTTCAAGTTTGGGCGTGAATGTGGCTTAAGATTTATAAGCTTACATTTTGTCCCTCCTAGATGAGGTCCGCACTGGCACTTATCGCCAGCTCTTCCACCCTGAACAGTTGATAACTGGCAAAGAAGATGCTGCGAACAACTATGCCCGCGGTCATTACACTATTGGAAAGGAAATCATTGACCTTGTCCTTGACAGGATTCGTAAGCTGGTAAGCCTGTGCTTAAGTAAGATTTATTAGGTTGTTTCAACATATGTTCACTATTGTGGTTCAAACGGTTTTTTGTGGTGGTTCTCTTAAAAGTATTATCGGTTCTGTGAGGTTTAACTACAGGAGTCGCTTATGGCTGAAACGGTATGCATTCCTCAAAGGAAAAAAAAATGGAGATTGTGAAATAAAAAATGTCAAAACCAAGAAGTAATAAAAACATATTATTCTAACCTTGAAAAAGATTACATGATCTAGCCTGATGTAGATTAAGAAAAATTTAATTTCATATTAATTTTGATTATCAATAGATAATGCCACAAGAGGAAACATCCTCTTTCAGATCTGTTCATGTTGCAGAGGGTAAACTTTCTTTAGCACTGTGACTCTTGATCGGTAAGGGATGTACAAAACTATCAGTCCACGGGAGGGAGGGGACGAAAGCATTGTCATCTAATAGGGGATAAGGAATTTATAAAAGGTCTCTCTCTCTCTCTCTCTCTCTCTCGAGAGAGAGAGAGAGAGAGAGAGAGAGAGGATAGCGGGTGTAATTTCCTTGTTAGGTGATAGTAGAAGGAACTGCATCAATTCACTGCAAAGAGGCACCAGCAGGTAGAGGGTAAAAGGTTAGAACTGATCTTAAGTGGTATGTGCACAAGGGCGTGAAAAAAAATTCAGCAAACGTCCATGAAAAAACCTTAAAAGATATGAGTTTGTATATGCAGTTAGCTTGCAATTTTAGTTTACAGTTTTTTTTTCATCTTTTTTAATAGGCTGATCAGTGTACTGGTTTACAAGGCTTCCTCATCTTCCATTCCTTTGGGGGTGGGACTGGATCCGGTTTTACATCATTGCTGATGGAACGCCTGTCAGTTGATTATGGCAAGAAATCTAAGCTGGAGTTTGCTATCTATCCCGCCCCCCAAATTGCAACTGCTGTCGTTGAGCCTTACAATTCTATCTTGACAACTCACACCACACTTGAGCACTCAGACTGTGCATTCATGGTGGACAATGAAGCCATCTATGACATCTGTCGCAGAAACTTGGACATTGAGAGGCCAACCTATACTAACCTGAACCGTCTGATTGGACAGATTGTGTCTTCCATCACAGCATCACTTCGTTTTGATGGTGCCCTGAATGTTGATTTAACTGAGTTTCAGGTACATGCTGGTTCAATCTGCGTGTAAATATTAGTTCAAGATATGTGGGGCTTTCATTCTTTCAGAGTAGAATTGTCTTAAAACCAAGAAAAATGTTACTAGCAATGAATTTCTTATGGGTTGCTTTGTCTTCTTAAAAGCTTTGGCAAAAACGAGGTGATGTCAAGCGAGTTTGTTTTCACAATAGTATTCAAAGACGTTATTTTCATTGCCACTAACTAAAGTGACACTGAGGACATTGAATGTTGTACAGAGTTTATCTTTTGAGACTAGACTTCTGCCCTTCCCTATGTCTATCTTTACCTTTATTAAGAGGGAAGGATCAATATGTGCCATTATATTCTGCATCTCTAGACCAACTTGGTGCCTTATCCACGTATTCACTTCCCATTGGCTACATACGCACCTGTCATCTCTGCTGAGAAAGCCTACCATGAGCAGCTCAGTGTGGCTGAGATCACTAATGCCTGTTTTGAGCCTGCCAATCAGATGGTGAAGTGTGATCCTCGTCATGGCAAGTATATGGCCTGCTGTCTACTGTATCGAGGTGATGTTGTACCCAAGGATGTCAACGCTGCCATTGCTACCATCAAGACTAAGAGGACCATTCAGTTTGTAGACTGGTGCCCAACTGGATTTAAGGTCAGTTTGGCTTAAAAGCTTTTTCTGCTCCCACCTATTTTAATTAATTTTTCAGACAGAATTATCTCCTTTCATGTGCAACAGTGAGAAAATAACTTTTCTGTGTGAACTTACGTAAGGTCACAAGCAACATTCATCCTTCTTCTTTTTTTAATGTTTTGAAACTTATAGGGCAGAAGTGCGTTATTATTAATTTCTTTATTTATTTTTGTCTGTTACTATGTGATTTGTAAGAAACGTCGATTTACTTGAAAATAGGAACCTTTTTCTCTCATTCTTGGAGTATGAATGTGGTGCACGGTCGATGCGGTCTATAAGTAAAGAAAATAAAATTTCTGTCATATACACTTTAATAACTTAGTGTCATTATCCCCGAAACGTTCCTTTCCGCTTCCGTGATGTTATGCTGCAAGTATTTTTCAGTGGAGATCGGAGATCTTGACTTTTTACTGATTCTCGTCTGATTTCCAATGGCTTTCTGGCAATAAATGTGGTGTTTTTTTCTCAATAATTATTGTTACTTTCAGGTTGGCATCAACTACCAGCCACCGACAGTTGTTCCAGGCGGCGACCTCGCCAAAGTTCAACGTGCAGTATGCATGTTGAGTAACACAACAGCTATTGCCGAGGCCTGGGCCCGCCTTGATCACAAGTTTGATCTGATGTACGCCAAGCGCGCGTTTGTCCATTGGTATGTGGGTGAGGGCATGGAGGAAGGAGAGTTTTCCGAAGCTCGTGAAGATCTGGCCGCCCTTGAGAAAGACTATGAAGAAGTGGGTGTGGATTCAGTGGACGCCGAAGGCGAAGAGGAAGGAGAGGAGTACTGAAAAACTTAAACTGGCCTGACTTCTTTTCTTGTTTTTATTTGGTTTTATTTTCTACATGGCTTGACACTTGAATAAAAGTTTGACTTAATATGCCTGTTGTCATGTTGCCTAGTTTTCGATCCTTGTGCGTCATGTATACTGATCCCAACCTTTTATTTTACCGTATGCTTGTCATATTCACGCGCATATTTATTTTCTGGATGTCAAGGACCAGGGGCACCCAGCGACTGTTTTCTGTAAAATATCTGTCTCGAATTTTCTTTTGCTTGAGGACGGCTAAAAATATCTAGATTAACGTTCCATTCTTGGACAATTTTCGAAGCTTACCTAATAAATTCCCTACGATTTTCTGAAGTTTAGTTTTTCATATTCTACTACCCAGGTTACACTATTTTTCGAGGAAAAAATCCAAAAATCCATGGCTCGTACAATCTTGAATTAAAGGTCTTGAATTTTACTAGTCGTCTTGAATTTGGTTTAGGTCCTTGAAAAGTACTTGATTTTTTAATTAGGTCTTCAAAGTCCTTGAAATTCACAACCTTGTCTATGCCAAAGACCTTTTTATCTGTAAAATTAACCTGAGATCAGGCCCAATTTTAGCGGTTCTCATACATTCTCTGTAACGGCTACCGCTTTCGCCTTGCCCGCCGGAATGTAATTTTTAAAGCAAAACGAAAATAGAGCCTGATCTCAGGTTACTGTAAAATTAGATTATTTTGCTGAGGAAAATTTGGTTCATCCTCGGTGTAAGAACCTGTAAAACTCACAGGTAACGTAAAAACATTATTTTTTGTACATGAACAGTATTTTATTTCTGTTTCTTTATTTCAACTGCTATTTCTGTACCTCAGATGCAATTGCAAGTCATACCCAGTCATTTTGCAAAGTCTTATTGCGGAAAGTAATATAAAATAATGTGATCAATGATGGCCGAAGAAGTAAAAATCGTAAATGACGTGTTTTAACCAATAGGGGTTAAAGAATGCCGATTCATTAAATAAATCTTAGTCCTTGAAAAACGTAATTTGTCCTTGAAAAGTCCTTGAAATCTGTTTGTCTGAAGTTGAACGAACCATGGGAATCAGAAAAATGCTCACTTTGGTAAAACCTTCAATTTTCGGGAAAATAATACTGAAGCCCTTGGGATGACCGAACAGATAAAAATTTTGTAGCGCCGCTTAGAATGCATTTCTACAGATCTAAAAGTACTCTGGATGGCCTAAAAACGCTTTTTCAACGTATTTTGGAGGAAACCGTCGTTGGGTGCCCCTGAATGACCCACAAAGACAAAAGACAAACGTCCAAAAAGTAGTTTTTCATAGAGTATGGTTTGAAGCATTTGTCTGTTATTAAATAAGCAAGTACATTCTTTGCTTACTTTAACTTTCTGTAGGCCATTGATACATATCTGAAACAAACAAGCCAAAACGGACGGTCAATTATTGGAATCCCAATAAAGGCAATGGAGGGGCCGGTAAACGTCTGTTTGTTTTAGTGTAATGTTTCCATATGAAAGCTAGAATGGCCGAAATAAACGTTCAGTGATCGTCACGCTTATGTAGAAACAGTTCTTCATCAATCAGACTTTAATCATTTCTGAATCAAATTTAGTTTTTCACAGAAACCCTCTTTGGACATGTAATTCGCACCCACGATTCTCAGGGCAAAACTTCGTCAACTTTAACGCGAGAAAAATGAACGCGAGACAAATGCTTTTTCTATTTTTCGTTGGAATGCATGCGTAGATAATTTTGAGGGGATTTTCTCCGTGTCAGTACAAAAAAGTAAGCAGTTTTGAAATTGTTTGTACAAAATGATTCTCGTCTTCCAGCCAGGAAAAATCGGAGGCGTGCGGAGTCAAGATTAGAATTTCCATTTGACTGTCATCATGGATGTCATTTTCAGTCTAGTCCTATTTGCAAGACTTACCATACGTCGATTTCAGTAACTGCTTTGGTGATGATGATAGTTGGAATAACGAAGGCAGAAGTAAGTGCTTTCTCCCTTGTTTCTTTAATCTAAAAAGAAATGACATGGTAAAGGCGGACAATCGAACACTGGGAAGTAAATGATATATTTCCTGGTTGGAAAACTGAGACTTTAGGTCCACTCTCAAAGTACCATAAAAATGTAGGTCAAGACACTCACTACTCAATTCAACACGATGTAAATTTATAACCGGCCAAACAACTTTGATATTCATGTTTCACTCTTCAAGCTCGGACTTAAGTGATAGAAAATGTTCTCAAAAAATTTGTTTACGCGATGTGGTCTCCTATTTGAAGGGGATTGTTTTTAATACGGGTTAGATTGGTTGGGTGTTGAGCAAATCAGTTTATCAGCAGGGGAATGCTGGCGTTTGTGGTTTTCTCACCCATTCCAGTTTTTTGTCCCGAAATCCAATCCAGGACAAAAAAGATGTGGCCTTCTTGTTTTCTTTCTTTCTCAATGTTGGCTTGTCGCTGCCATCATGCATATTCTTCTCCCAGTTGTAGATAATTTCACTTTTGAGATGAGCCTGAGATGAAAGGAAATGCGCTTCGGTAAGGCACCAAAAACAGAAACGTATTCTTTTTTTTTTTCGCTTTAAGGCACCACTCTCACACTGCAATCGTTCTTATCAGTCCTTCTCAGGGCCCCTTTTGATACCAGTTAATGGCTGATAGGGCGGCTACGAACGGATTTATTGCAACTGAACTGAACTGAATTATATACGGCTCAAAATCATAGTATTGCCGCCTGAAAGAAATTTCTCAAGGCAAAGAAAGCCTGCTTGCAGGTATTTCCAATTTCTCTGTGCTTAAACCAGAGACCGGACGCCAGCATGCAAGTGGACTTTCTGAAGTTAAAGTCCTTGGCTTCTCATTTCCGGTTCCGGTAGTTGGCCGTAGAGCTCCCGCTCTCTCGCTCGCTTTTTGCCTCAGAAAACATAAAAAATCTACAGCTCGCGCTTCGCGCGAGGGAAAAAATATGAGCTCGACTTGTAGGCAAGTCTAGTATGCAAGCTACAAGCTAAGAAATGAACACTAAACACTGCGAAGGATACGAGACTAATTTATCGACAGTATTTCGACAGTTTATCACAGTAAAAAGGAAGGGAAGCTTTGAGAGGTAACGTTTTTACTTACTCGTTTTCGTGAATGCATTCCATGCGGGAGCTCCTCTTTGCTATGCAAACCTCTCAAACTCTAAGGCAAACGAACTCAAAATTTTATTTAACAGTAACAGAAAAACGATTCAAAACTAACAAAAAGTGAAAGTCTTCTTTTTTATACGGGGCTTCGAATTCTGAGTCGCCTTCTTTTAAGAGCCTAAAATCACTAAATCAGTCGTGGAAAGAGTGAAAATCGCCCTCTAATGAACAGCAAATTGTTTGCTCAGTGTGCCTCACTGTACAATAGAAAATTAACTGTCACACCGTCTCGCTCAAACGTTGGATAGCGTAAATTCACGGTCCAGCAAATAAATATTAGGGAAACCAACTTACTGTGTTATCCTCTGAATAGAGATTTATTCATGTGGATAGCGTAATCCATCTTTCGAACAACTGGGCCCAGGAGTCTAGCCTGTTTTTCAGACGACTACTTCGAGGCGTTTTCTATTCTCGAGTAAAAACAACTGAAGTAATCGTCTGAAATTCATGATCAGATACGTGCTGGTTTCGAAAACCCCTCTCCAAAATGCATGACCAGCATCCAGGTTTCTGGTTACCTCTATTTTGGGAGCCGGGTCATCAAAAGTATTTAGAGCGAGCCATCAATTCAAGTCAATAATTAACAACTGGACGAGGCTGAGTATGAAAATGAAGAAAATTATGCAGCTCGAGGAGGGTTTTACACCTCCACGATCTGTAGAACCAATTCATACCAAATCGAATCCAACAATTATTTTTTTATCCATTCAAAATATTCAATCCAACTTAAAACACGCTTTCTTCGTTCTTTGTAAGGCACCCGTCTTCAAAATATTTGCGTTTCCCTCGGCAATTTCAAGATACTAAGGGGATAGTAAGGTTAGTCTGGTGGCTCTTGGTCTAGCATGTATTTTTTAAATAATGGGATAGTAATTGAAACAGCACTAATGCGTGAAGTGCCAAAAACAGTGAAATTTGTAAAAACATAACAGGCTCCCGTTTTAACTTTGTGTTAGTTTTACTTGGTTTTTCAACTCACCATGAATTTGTGTGTCCCCATCGGCGACCTCTCAGTTTGCGAATCGATAAGCCACAACTCCTCCTTTCTTGGCCAACATTCATCAGAAAAATCGCCTGTATTCGATTTACTTGATTGCCCTCCTTTGCTTGCCTAGAAAATAAATGAAAAGAGAATATCACTTACTGTATGATTTACTCTCTGATTTACTCTCCGCGCGCTTCATTTTTGTCGTCTTGTTCTGAATTTTCAGTTCACAATAAATGAAGTAGCTGGAGAACATCGGTTTTTGCAAAAAAGATGGAAAAGGAAACACGAAATATTACGAATTGAGCTTAACTTGACAGCTTGTTAATGAGAGTTTGTTTTACATACCATGCTTTCAAGATGCAGCATTTTTCACTCACCGACAGCACTCAGTTCTTCAGGTTCGATTGCGGTTGGAGCAAGAGCGGAGAAAGCAAATTTGGTTCCTCTTCGTACCAAATCAACCTTACATAAGTATAATCCAAGCAATTGCAAGGAACTCTTGCGCCACATTTTGAAAATCTCTTTACGGGATGAAATGAAACCACACAAAGAAAATGGCTGACGCAAAACCAGAAGACATCATGGTTATTTGTGTTGTAGGGATTTTTATGGGAATTAATATGAAATTGGTAAATATGGACAAGGACATCGAGTTTGGTGACTTTTAACTTTTACAACACGGGTTCAGCAGCTAGTAATAGAAATTAATTAGCTTCACCATGTCAGTAATGTTTGCTATTAAAACACTGGAGAATATCTACATAATTATAAAGTAGATAATCCTCTTGATGTTGCAATATTTGTTCGCCCAAATTAGCCTGCCAAAACGATTTGTTGCTTAGACACAAACAAACAAACAGATAAACACGCAAACCATCACCGCCAAAAACAACGAAGACGACGAAAGATCAAAGTTTACAGCGAGTTTTGAATCTGCCGGCAGATAAAACATTTGCGGTAGAAATGGGTCTCCTTGATGATGATGACGTGCCACGCCCTGCACTATGAAATAATTGCGCCCGAAGGTTGCATTCCTAATCTGAGATCTCTCATGAAACTTTTCTCTCTAGAGCACGCACTTTTAGCCGCCCTGCAGGTTTTTCAGGGGCTTTTTCTTTGGTTTAGCCTCGTTAGGACAAAAATCACGTTAACTAATGGTCCAGTGAAATCACTGTCGGATTTACTCTCCTTTTAATTACTACCTGTAGTTCCTTTATTTACCCTCGGCAGTATTTTGCAGTTCAAAGGCTACTGGGACGGAACAAATAACTGAAGCAAACAAATCAAATAAACATCCCAACTGGCCGGAAGCGGACCAGCTGGCTATTTACAAGCGTGGCCGAGGATTTGAACTCGGGGCCGACTATCGTGAACAAATCCAGCTGTCGGCTAGGGCTGGACTTGAATTCGGGGCTTCCGGATTGTAAGTCCAGCGCCCTAACCACTCGCCCACGCTGCCACGGTTAGTATGAAAAAGAAAAAACAAAAAACAAAAAAAAAANCAAAAACAACGAAGACGACGAAAGATCAAAGTTTACAGCGAGTTTTGAATCTGCCGGCAGATAAAACATTTGCGGTAGAAATGGGTCTCCTTGATGATGATGACGTGCCACGCCCTGCACTATGAAATAATTGCGCCCGAAGGTTGCATTCCTAATCTGAGATCTCTCATGAAACTTTTCTCTCTAGAGCACGCACTTTTAGCCGCCCTGCAGGTTTTTCAGGGGCTTTTTCTTTGGTTTAGCCTCGTTAGGACAAAAATCACGTTAACTAATGGTCCAGTGAAATCACTGTCGGATTTACTCTCCTTTTAATTACTACCTGTAGTTCCTTTATTTACCCTCGGCAGTATTTTGCAGTTCAAAGGCTACTGGGACGGAACAAATAACTGAAGCAAACAAATCAAATAAACATCCCAACTGGCCGGAAGCGGACCAGCTGGCTATTTACAAGCGTGGCCGAGGATTTGAACTCGGGGCCGACTATCGTGAACAAATCCAGCTGTCGGCTAGGGCTGGACTTGAATTCGGGGCTTCCGGATTGTAAGTCCAGCGCCCTAACCACTCGCCCACGCTGCCACGGTTAGTATGAAAAAGAAAAAACAAAAAACAAAAAAAAAACACAAAGATAAACTTGAACACAAGCAAACCTTTTCGAAATAATGCGCTGAGCTTTGCCAAGTCCCTGTCCGGCGATTCACCAGGCCTTCTCACTCGATTCACCTAGGTGACGTATCGAAGGCCAACTCGGACCACGTGACCCGAAACGCATTTGCCGCGCGGAAAAATGAGGCGAAGGGACTAGGCAAAGCTGAGAAGCTCAGTGTCTTTTTATGAAGTGAAAGACAATCAGAATGTGATATCAACGTTAGGACGTACAACTGAGGCTGCAATGTACCCTGGTAGTTCTCAATGAATACCACGGCGCGGGAAACTGTGTCAAGGAAACGCCAGGAGGGTAGATGGCCCAGCCCCCCAACCCAAACTTTCTTAGGGGGTTTGTCACGCGTTCCTTCCCCGCGAAGGTCCACAGATGCTTAGATAACTTCAGCTAATAAGCCTACGCGCCTAAAATGACCGAAAACGTTAAGCATTCGTTATATCATTAGAGCCAATTTGAGTTTTCAAAATTGTTGCTATGGTACCCGATTAAGTTAATACCAACAGTACTAGTCAGTGACCGGGTATTCTTGTGTTTAATAGTAGGATGGTTATGTTGATCTCTCCCCCCTTTCTACAAGTAAAGTTTCTTCGGCCTATTCCGTAAACCTTATTTGAGATGATTTGGATCCTTCCAGTTAACACTTTTAAAAGAAAAGGCAGAACATAAAAAATTGACGGCTAATATGATCTTACATGTACTGAAATTCTTTTATCTTGAGTAGGATATAAACCTGTACTTATTCAATCTTTATTTCATAGGCAATTATAATAGAAATAGCACCGACTAATTAACAATCGTTTGTTTTTCCTTTACATCTTTAAGGTAAGAGAAGTCAGTTTATAATATGCTCCTTTAGATTGTAGTTTTCTCTCTGGTACAAGATTCTTAAACAACCTGCATACCAGACTGAGGAGCCAATAATCCTACGATAAGCTACCAAAAACATTGCTCTACGTCAAGACTATAGGCCAGATGCAGGCTTTTTGAGCCAACCTCGTCCCCAGGTCGCTTTTCCCTGGCTTTGGAGGTAAACGGGGTGTACTGACTGATATCAGGGACTATCCTCTTTGAAATTAAAAATACCGTTTGAATTGTCCTTGACATGCACCCCTCATAAATTGAATTTCAGGCTTGCCAAATATAAGGATCGCCCTTCCATTCTCTTCTCCTGAATTCATCTCTGTCATCTGTCTTCTATTAGCTGCTTCTTATACAAAATTAGCCAGTAGGAGGCGCATGAGAAAGTTAGGACGCAAATAAGAACTGGTCGCGAGGGAAAGAGGTAGTACGTTCGTGTCATCCTCGTCTCTCAAGCCCATCGTTTATCTTGGGCCCCATATTAATTTTCTAACCCACCTTCCATCCAGGCTAATAAAGTAATCTCTCCAAGTGTTAAATAATCAACTTAAAATCAGTTTTCTACAAACCTACATTAAAGCATTTTCGAAATTTTGTTCTGGTCTGTTTTTAAACAACTCAACCCACCAGATCTCAATAATTCACGGTCCTACATATATGATAATGTGACAACCGAGTTGGGGAATTTTTTTTTTTCATCTTTTTTAATAGGCTGATCAGTGTACTGGTTTACAAGGCTTCCTCATCTTCCATTCCTTTGGGGGTGGGACTGGATCCGGTTTTACATCATTGCTGATGGAACGCCTGTCAGTTGATTATGGCAAGAAATCTAAGCTGGAGTTTGCTATCTATCCCGCCCCCCAAATTGCAACTGCTGTCGTTGAGCCTTACAATTCTATCTTGACAACTCACACCACACTTGAGCACTCAGACTGTGCATTCATGGTGGACAATGAAGCCATCTATGATATCTGTCGCAGAAACTTGGACATTGAGAGGCCAACCTATACTAACCTGAACCGTCTGATTGGACAGATTGTGTCTTCCATCACAGCATCACTTCGTTTTGATGGTGCCCTGAATGTTGATTTAACTGAGTTTCAGGTACATGCTGGTTCAATCTGCGTGTAAATATTAGTTCAAGATATGTGGGGCTTTCATTCTTTCAGAGTAGAATTGTCTTAAAACCAAGAAAAATGTTACTAGCAATGAATTTCTTATGGGTTGCTTTGTCTTCTTAAAAGCTTTGGCAAAAACGAGGTGATGTCAAGCGAGTTTGTTTTCACAATAGTATTCAAAGACGTTATTTTCATTGCCACTAACTAAAGTGACACTGAGGACATTGAATGTTGTACAGAGTTTATCTTTTGAGACTAGACTTCTGCCCTTCCCTATGTCTATCTTTACCTTTATTAAGAGGGAAGGATCAATATGCGCCATTATATTCTGCATCTCTAGACCAACTTGGTGCCTTATCCACGTATTCACTTCCCATTGGCTACATATGCACCCGTCATCTCTGCTGAGAAAGCCTACCATGAGCAGCTCAGTGTGGCTGAGATCACTAATGCCTGTTTTGAGCCTGCCAATCAGATGGTGAAGTGTGATCCTCGTCATGGCAAGTATATGGCCTGCTGCCTACTGTATCGAGGTGATGTTGTACCCAAGGATGTCAACGCTGCCATTGCTACCATCAAGACTAAGAGGACCATTCAGTTTGTAGACTGGTGCCCAACTGGATTTAAGGTCAGTTTGGCTTAAAAGCTTTTTCTGCTCCCACCTATTTTAATTAATTTTTCATACAGAATTCTCTCCTTTCATGTGCAACAGTGAGAAAATAACTTTTCTGTGTGAACTTACGTAAGACCACAAGCAACATTCATCCTTCTTAATGTTTTGAAACTTATAGGGCAGAAGCGCGTTAGTATTAATTTCTTTATTTATTTTTGTCTGTTACTATGTGATTTGTAAGAAAGGTCGATTTATGTGAAAATAGGAACCTTTTTCTCTCATTCTTAGAGTATGAATGTGGTGCACGGTCGATGCGGTCTATAAATAAAAAAATAATTAATAATTTAGTGTCATTATCCCCGAAACGTCCATTTCCGCTTCTGTGATGTTATGCTGCAAGTATTTTCCAGTGGAGATCGGAGATCTTGACTTTTTACTGATTCTCGTCTGATTTCCAATGGCTTTCTAGCAATAAATGTGGTGTTTTTTTCTCAATAATTATTGTTACTTTCAGGTTGGCATCAACTACCAGCCACCGACAGTTGTTCCAGGCGGCGACCTCGCCAAAGTTCAACGTGCAGTATGCATGTTGAGTAACACAACAGCTATTGCCGAGGCCTGGGCCCGCCTTGATCACAAGTTTGATCTGATGTACGCCAAGCGCGCGTTTGTCCATTGGTATGTGGGTGAGGGCATGGAGGAAGGAGAGTTTTCCGAAGCTCGTGAAGATCTGGCCGCCCTTGAGAAAGACTATGAAGAAGTGGGTGTGGATTCAGTGGACGCCGAAGGCGAAGAGGAAGGAGAGGAGTACTGAAAAACTTAAACTGGCCTGACTTCTTTTCTTGTTTTTATTTGGTTTTATTTTGTACATGGCTTGACACTTGAATAAAAGTTTGACTTAATATGCCTGTCGTCATATTGCCTAGTCTTCGATCCTTGTGCGTCATGTATACTGATCCCAACCTTTTATTTTAAAGTATGACGTTTGTCATATTCACGTGCACATTTATTTTATGGATGTCAAGGACCAGGGGCTGCCACCCACTGTTTTCTAGATGAACGTTGTTCCATCCATGTACAATTTTCGAAGCTTATCTTATAAATTCCCTACCGTTTTCTGAAGTTTAATTTTTCATATTTTATATTTTATGGGAGTATGCTTTGAAGCATTTGTCTGTTATTAAATTAGCAAGTACATTCTTTGCTTAGTTTAACTTTCTTTTGGCCAGGCCATTGATACATATCTGAAACAAACAAGCCAAAACGGACGGTCAATAATTGGAATCCCAATAAAGAAAATAGGGGGGCCGGTAGACTTCTGTTTGTTTTAGTCTAATGTTTCCATATGAAAGCTAGAATAGCTCAAATAAACGGTTAGTGATCAGTGTAGCCTGAATTTCATCCGATTACTTCGAGTCGTTATTACTCCCTGTTGAGAGGAGAAAACGACTCGAAGCAATCGGATGAATTTCAGGCCACATATCTGAAACAAACAAGCCAAAACGGACGGTCAATAATTACTGTAATAATTGGAATCCCAATAAAGAAAATAGGGGGGCCGGTAGACTTCTGTTTGTTTTAGTCTAATGTTTCCATGTGAAAGCTACAATCAGGGACAAAAGTAGTTGAGACACTTGTTTAAAACGGGTGCTTTTAACAAACATTTAATTCATTTATTATTTCATTCCTTTTAAACGCCGTAAATCCCCCGACCCCCGAGTCAATGTTGTCTGAAGTATAAAAAAAAAAACTTGAGGGACCAAAATTCAACATTGATTTTGGGGGGAAGGGGCTGGGGTAGACAGGGGAAGGGGATAAGTATATCCACTATGCAAAAAGGGGTCGTTTTACGGAAGTGTGTCAACACTTTTGTCCCTCATTGTAGAATAGCCCAAATAAACGGTTAGTGATCAGTGGTGATCGTCAAGATTTTGTAGAAACCAAGAGTTCTTCCTCAATCAGACTTCAATCATTTCCTAATTAACTTTGGTTCTTCACAGATCGCAACGCTCTTTCGACATGTAATTTGCAACCACGATTCGCGGGACAAAACTTCGTCAACTTTAACGCGAGAAAAATGAGCACCAGAGAAGTGAGAAGACAATGTTTTTTCTATTTTTCGTTGGAATGCATGCGTAGATGATTTTGAGGGGATTTTCTCCGTGGCAGTATATAAGCAGTAAGCAGTTTTGAAATTGTTTATGTAAAATGATCTCGTCTTCCTGCCAGGAAAAATCCGCTGAGGCGTGCAGAGTCAAGATTAGAATTGGTTTTCCATTGCAATCACAAGGATTCCTCTCACCAACTCAACTGAAAACCCGGGCCGTTTATAGTTCTTGCTCAGCCTAGTCCTATTTGCAAGACTTACCATGAGTCGATTTCAGCCACTGCTTTAGTGATGATGATGGTTGGAATAACGAAGGTAGAAGTAAATGTTTTATCCCCTGTTTCTTTAGTCTAAAAAAGAAATGACATGGTAAATGTGGAAAAAGGCTTTAGTTCCTGACTCTCAAAGTACCATCATAAATGTAGGTGAAAACACTCACTACTCATTTCAACACGATATAAATTTTTAACAGGCCAAACAACTATGATAAATGTTTCACTCTTCAAGCTTCGACTTATTTGAAGTCATATAGAAAACGTTCTCACCAATTTTGTTAACGCCATGCGGTCTATAATCTAATTTAAAGGGGATCGTTTTTTACTTGGGTTACATTGGCTGGGTGTTGACCAAATCAGTTACAGCTGGGAAATGCCGGCGTTTTTGGTTTTCTCACCCATTCCACTTTTTTGTCCCGAAATCCAATCCAGGACAAAAAAGAAGTGGCCTTCTTGTTTTCTTTCTTTCTCAATGTTGGCTTGTCACTGCCCTTCTGCATATTCTTCTCCCAGTTGTAGATAATTTCACTTTTGAGATGAGCCTGAGATGAAAAACAAAACGCGCTTCGGTAAGGCACCAAAAATAGAAACGGGTTTTTTTTTTCGCTTTAAGGCACCACTCTTGCGCGGCAATCGTTTCTATCAGTACTTGTCAGGGCCCCTTTTGATACTAGCCAATGGCTGATCTGGCTACCTTGCCTAAATAACGTTGACTTGACTTGACTTAATATATGTCGAGTTTTAGTATCATAACGGCGGACTTTCTAATTTCTCAAGGCAAAGAAAGCCTGCTTGCAGGTATTTCCAATTTCTCTGTGCTTAACTAGAGACCGGACGCCAGCATGCAAGTGGACTTTCTGAAATTAAAGTCCTTGGCTTCTCATTTCCGGTTCCGGTAGTTGGCCGTAGAGGTCCCGCTCTCTCGCTCGCTTTTTGCTGCAGAAAACATGAAAAATCTACAGCTCGCGCTTCGCGCTCGTGAAAAAAATATGAGCTCGACTTGTAGGAAAGTCTAGCATGCAAGCTACAAGCTAAGAAATGAATACTAAACACTGCGAAGGATACGAGACTAATTTATCGACAGTCAGTTTCGACAGTTTATCACGTACTGCAGTAAAAAGGAAGGGAAGCTTTGAGAGGTAAGGTTTACTTACTTACTTTACTTACTCGTTTTCGAGAATGCATTCCTTGCGGGAGCTCCTCTTTGCTATGCAAACCTCTCAAACTCTAAGGCAAACAAACTCAAAATTTTATTCAACAGTGACAGAAAAACGATTCAAAACTAACAAAAAGGGAAAGTCTTCTTTTTTTATACGGGGCTTCGAATTCAGAGTCGCCTCCTTTTAAGAGCCTGAAATCACTAAATAAGTCATGGAAAGAGTGAAGATTGCCCTCTAATGAACAGCAAATTGTTTGCTCAAAGTACAATAGAAAATTGACCGTCACACTGTCTCGCTCAAACGTTGGATTGCGTTAATTCCCGGTCCAGCGGATAAATCACGTTCAAGCGAAAAAAAATCAGGGAAACCAACTTACTGTGTTAGAGTGGTTTTCGTTTGAGTGTCGTAAAACCAAAACCAAAGTAATTACTCTGGCCAATCACATAGGACACAGACAATACATTGAACCAATCAAAACTCGAAGTAATTACATGTGGCTGACGCAAATAGCGCGTCACAATTGGCTTTGGTTTTACTTCTGATTGGATGAAAAGGTGGCGCGAATCTTTTAAGCCAATCGCATCGTGTAGAAAGTGCAAAACCAATTACTTTTCGACACTCAAGTGAAAACCGCTCTATCCTCTGAATAGAAATTTATTCACGTGGTAGCGCAGTCCATCTTTCGAACAACTGGGCCCAGGGGTCTAACCTGAAATTCAAACGATTACTTCGAGACGTTTTCTCCTCTCGAGTAAAAACGACTGAAGTAATCTTCTGTAATTCAGATACGTGCTGGTTTCGAAAAACCCTCTCCACATTGCATGAACAGCTTCCAGATTTCTGGTTACCTCTATTTTGGGAGCAGGAGGGTTTTATACCTCCACGATCTGCACAACCAATTCATACCAAATCGGATCCAATAAATATTTTCTTATTTATTCAAAATATTCCCAACTTAAAAACACGCTTTTCTCGTTCTTTATAGTCTTTATAAGGCACCCGTCTTCATAATATTTGCCTTCCCTCGGCAATTTCAAGATACTAAGGGATTGTAAGGTTAGTCTAAAGGCTCTTGGTCTAGCAGGTATTTTCTAAATATTGCTGTTGTCATCGGTCGAGTGGTATTTTTGTTATTTTTGCTGTTTTTAGGCAGTAATTTGGCGGCCGTTCGGCTATTTTTTTCCCGCTCTACCTAAAGTGCTGAGCTACCAGGCCTTCTGCTTCCCTTTTTTTTGTCGATTATCAGTACTTTCTGCGTCAATGGTACTTATATATTGGCAAATGTCTTCCATATTTAGTCAACAACAGCTAGTTATGAAGAATTAGCTGCAGGGGGAGAAGAAAACCAGAAACGGAGAAATCTTTTTCTGAATGGATAATAATGGGATAGTAATTGAAACAACACTAATACGTGAAGTGCCAGAAAACAGTAAAATTTGTAAAAACACAATAGGCTACCGTTTTAACTTTGTGTTAGTTTTACTCGGTTTTTAAACTCACCATGAATTTGTGTGTCCCCATCGGCGACCTCTCAGTTTGCGAATCGATAAGCCACAACTCCTCCTTTCTTGGCCAAAATTTATCAGAAAAAGCGCCTGTATTCGATTTACTTGATTGCCCTCCTTTGCTTGCCTAATAAATGAAAAGAGAACATCACTTACTGTAGTCTGATTTACTCTCTGTCGTTTTGCAGTAACTTAAGCTTGAGAGACCGCGTGCTTCATTTCTGGTCTTGTACTGAATTTTCAGTTCACAATAAATGAAGTTGCTGGAGGACATCGGTTTTTGCAAAAAAGGTGGAAAAGAAAACACGAAATAGTGCGAATTCAGCTAAAGGTGACATCTTATTAATGGGAGTATATTTTACATACGATCCTTTTAAGATGCAGCACTTTTCCCTCACCGACAGCACTCAGTTCTTCAGGTTCGATTGCGGTTGGAACAAGAGCGGTGAAAGCAAATTTGATTCCTCTTCGTACCAAATGAACCTTATATTAGTATAATCCAAGCAATTGCAAGGAACTCTTGCCCCACATTTTGAAAATCTCATTACGGGATGAAGTGAAACCACACAAAGAAAATGGCTGACGCAAAACCAGAAGACATCATGGTTATTTGTGTTGTAGGAATTTTTACGGGAATTAATATGAAATTGTTAAATTGGACAAGGACATCGATGTTAGTGACTTTTAGCTTTTACAACCTGGGTTCAGCATCTAGTAATAGAAATTAATTACCTTCACCATGTCAGTAATGTTTGCTATTAAAACACTGGAGAATATCTACATAATTATTAAGTAGATAATCCTCTTGATGTTGCAATATTTTTGTTCGCACAAATTAGCCTGCCAAAACGATTTGTTGCCTAGACACAAACAAACAAACAGATAAACACACAAACAAACCAACAAAACATCACCGCCAAGAACAACGAAGGCGACGAAAGATCAAAGTTTACAGCATGTTTTGAATCTGCCAGCAGATAAAACATTCGTGGTAAAAATAGGTCTCCTTAGTGACGATGACGTGCCACGCCCTACACTATGATAATAATAATTGCGCTCGAAGGTTGCATTCCTAATCTGCGATCTCTCATGAAACTTTTCTCTGTAGAGGACGCACTTTTTGCCGCCCTACAGATTTTTCAGGGGCTTTTTCTCTGGTTTAGCCTCGTTTGGACAAAAATCACGTTAACTAATGGTCCAGTGAAATCACTGTCGGATTTTAATTACTACCTGTAGTTCCTTTATTTACCCTCAACAGTATTTTGCAGTTCAAAGGCTACTGGGACGGAACAGATAACTGAAGCAAACAAGTCAAATAAACATCCCAACTGGCCGGAAGCGGACCAGCTGGCTATTTACAAGCGTGGCCGAGCATTTGAACTCGGGGCCGACTACCGAGAACAAATCCAGCTGTCGGCTAGGGCTGGACTTGAATTCGGGGCTTCGGGATTGTAAGTCCAGCGCTCTAACTACTCGTCAACGCTGCCAAAGAGAAACTTGATTACAAGCAAACCTTTTCGAAATAATGCGCTGAGCTTTGCCAAGTCCCTGTACGGCGATTTTCCAGGCCTTCTCACTCGATTCACTTCGGTGACGTATCGAAGGCCAACTCGGACCACGTGACCCGAAACGTATTTGCCGCGCAGAATGATGAGGCGAAGGGACTAGGGAACGCTGAGCCTAACTAGAAGCTCAGTCTCTTTTTATGAAGTGAAAGACCATCAGAATGTGATATCAACGTTAGAACGTACAACTGAGGCTGCAATGTACGCTGGTAGTTCTCAATGAATACCGCGGCGCGGGAAACTGTGTCGACCAAACGCCAGGACGGTAGATGGCCTAGCCTCCCACCCAAACTCTCTTGGGGGTTTGTCACGCGTTCCTTTTCCACGAAGGTCCACAGATGCTTAGATAACTTCAGCTAAGCCTACGCGCCTAAAAATGACCGAAAACCTAAAGCATTCGTTATATCAAAAGGTTCAGAGCCAACTTAAGTTTTCGAAATTGTTGCTATGGTACCCGATTAAGTTAATACCAACAGTACTAGTCCGAGTGACCGGGTATTCTTGTGTTTAATGGTAGGATGGTTATGTTGATCTCTCCCCCTCTCTACAAGTAAAGTTTCTTCGGCCTATTCCGTAAACCTTATTTGAGGTAATTTGGATCCTTCCAGTTAACACGTTTTTAAAGAAAAGGCAGAACATAAAAGTTTGACAGCTAATATGATCCTACATGTACTGAAATTCTTTTATCTTGAGCAGGATATAAACCTGTACTTATTCAATCTTTATTTCATGGGCAATTATAATAGAAATAGCACCAATTAATTAAGGTAAGAGAAGTCAATTTATACGCAATATGCTCCTTTAGGTTGTAGTTTTCTCTCTGGTACAAGATTTTTAAACAACCTGCATAACAGACTGAGGCGCCAACAATCCTACGATAAGCTACCAAAAACATTGCTCTACGTCAAGACTATAGGCCAGATGCAGGCTTTTTGAACGGGGTGTACTGACTGATATCAGGGACTATCCTCTTTGAAATTAAAAATACCGTTTGAATTGTCCTTGACATGCACCCCTCATAAATTGAATTTGAGGCTTGTCAACTATAAGGATCGCCCCTCCATTCTCTTCTCCTGAATTCATCTTTGTCATCTGTCTTCTATTAGCTGCTTCTTCTACAAAATTAGCCGCTAGGAGGCGCATGAGAAAGTTAGGACGCAAATAAGAACTGGTCGCAAGGGAAAGAGGTAGTGCGTTCGTGTCATCCTCGTCTCTCAAGCCCATCGTTTATCTTGGGCCCCATATTAATTTTCTAACCCACCTTCCATCCAGGCTAATAAAGTAATCTCTCCAAGTCAGCGGCACCCGACGACAATTTTCGGAAAATATCTGTTCGGAAGACGATTTGAGATCTAGAATTTTCGGAACATTTGTTGTAAAATCTCTTCCTTGCCTGCCTCCCCTAGGATTTTCGAACATCTAAAAAATAGTATAATTGCCCATTTTTAATGGATTTTTACCCCTAAAAGGTGACCTAGAATTTTCGGGATCCTTTTTTCTGACTGAAATTTTCGAAAAGGTAAGTTTTGATCCCTATAATTTTCGGATCACTAGACTTTCAGCTAGGAAATCCGAACAGATGAAAAATTTTTAGGGGATAAAAATATACCTATATCTACCGTTTAAATACTAAAATACGTTTAACAATGCTATGTTTAAGTAGTTTTGAACTATATTCTCGTTGGGTGCCCCTGCCAAGTGTTAAATAATCAACTTAAAAATCAGTTTTCTCAAGAGACTATAAAGGGGACAGAGAGGGCATCCCCCATATACACCTTATTCCATAGGTATTTCGTCTCGAGTTATTTTTAGAATAGGGATAAAGTTACCTCGCGCGAGGCGTGGATGTTTCGTGGAGGTTTCGCATGACGAAAAGGCCGTGCAAAACATGTCGGGCGAGAGGCAATGAAAGCGTAAAAAGATCGAGAGCATTCCTGAATATTGAAGCGAAATGAGTCGGCGCTCACCTGGGAAAAACGAATCGCTGGACTCTTTGACAACCCGTGAAATCAGTTTAACTCGAAGTTGTCGTAACCTCAGTGGTTTAATAAAATGAGAAATTTCGCCGGTCTATTGAAACCGGTCGTTTGTACAATTTAGGGAGTTTAAGATCCAATGACGCGGACGACAACTAGAACGTCAAAAAAAAATAGGTTTAATTAGCAAAACAACAACTTCGCACGTGCAACACACTTTTTTGTTCATTTCTTTCCCGTTTTTGCACGACTACGACGTGAGAATGCCTAATTTCGCGTTTTATGGAGGACGTAAATAAGCAACGACGAAATTTTATTTCTCTTTCTGAGCTTGAATATGGGCCCTTGAAATTCAGCTTTAGGAGGGTTCGCCTACAATTGACAAAGTAAGTGGGTAGGAATAATCGCTATAAAGACTGAAAAAAATAAACATCAAACCAGAAATTGCTCTCTTCAAACTGTAAATTATAAATGATCCTGAGAGAATATTCAGTGTGTTAAGGATTTCCCTGCTCTACTGTTAGCTCTATACAAGAGAGGAAGGGCGATTCTTTTTTAATTTCGGTTTCGCTGACACAGCTTTCGCAGAAATCTCGCTGTGGTCGTTTTCGTCGACAAAAGGAATAGCAAAATCGCTCTCCGCGTCTTCTCCCATTTTGTTCTGCGTCCTTTCGTGAAGGACGCGTGGCTCTCAGCGTGGGTCATCCACGCGGAACAAATTCGCGCTATGTGATTGGCTGTTGTCTAATCCCCCTTGAGATCTGTGGTGTTAAAAATAACTCGAGACGAATTACCTATGGAATAGGGTGTATATGGGGGATGCCCTCTCTGTCCCCTTTATAGTCTCTTGGTTTTCTACAAACCTACATTAAAGCATTTTCGAAATTTTGTTCTGGTCTGTTTTTAAACAACTCAACCCACCAGATCTCAATAATTCACGGTCCTACATATATGATAATGTGACAACCGAGTTGGGGAATTCACTGTTTTTGCTACAAGTAGCGACGAGTCTGCCATCAGGGGCAACAGTAAAATCAAGTAGCCCGGATGTTGTGGGGAATTCCGATACGCATGCGCCAGTGACGTCATAAACCCTCATTCTGTTAGAAAACTGTTGATATACCAGGAGCACGCAATTCAATGGGTCAGCGGCAATACGCAGCGGATGACCCAGGCTCTTCTCGTTCCAAAGTGGTTGTTCTCCGAAACTGGTGACGAACTGACAGTCCGAATCGAAGACTTTCACGCAACCTTGGTTTGCTACTTTGTTGCTGTCTGAAAAGATGAATTTATCCTTGAGATGCACTCCTTTTTGAGCATGGTTCAGTCCCGTCCGCGAACATTTTCCAACAGGTAACTCGATTTTTCGTTCATCTCTCGCACTAAACACATTAGGAGCCTCCATACTGTTAGTGTAGTAAACTGCGATGACGTTCTTACATGAACTTGAAAAAGAAGTAAATGAAGTCACGTGCGCTGGTCCTTTGAGATTAGCAATCACGCGCAAGTGCTCTCCGGAAATCCCCATCTCAATAAGACAACCGCTTCCGGTCGCAGGGGAGTGCTCAGAGACAGCGAAAGTGTTACGCGACATAAAAGTCACGCCATACACTTCAAGCAACTTGTTGCCGTAGGGCTTGGCGACGTGACGCAAAAAATCTCCCATGGGGTCAAAAATATGAATGCAGTTATTTCCTCGGTCAACAACAGCGATGTGCCCGCTCTCGCTGACTGATAAGGCCCAAGGGAGAAATTTTTCGGACAGTGGGCTTGGTGGAATCATAACACTAAGAACTTGACCGGGCTTTCTCTTTGAGTCTCTTTGAGAAGACAGTCGACGCTTCTCTATGGGCCCATCTTCATTAGTAAATTTGGCGCCATCATTCTTATCATCCCGTGCTTCTTTTATATCTATGTCGCATTTGACCCTTCCGAGCGGCTCTTGAAAGCACCCATTGTTCGCCACAAAAGACATCTCGTACACACGGTTTTCCTGATCCTCCATCAATGAACTCTTTCGCTGTTTCACCGCAAGTAACTGTGCTTGTACTTTATTCGCCAATAACTCGTCCCTCCTGCCTGGTTTAAACTTTCCATGATTCATTTCAACAACTTGAATAACGTGGTGTGCCTGTAGTGAAAAATCTGCTATTTCTTGATAGCGATCTCGCTTTTCCGACGCGATTAATCGATCCACGTCTTGATAGAGCTCCTTTTCCTTAGCGCGAACAGCGTCCACGAGTGCGTCAGCTGTGCTGCGGATTTCTTCCTTAACTCGTTCCTCCTGGACCGACAATGACGCATCAATCCCGTGCTCCATGTCCCTGATAGCTGCCGCCAGGTCATTACGATACTCCTGGGTATATGTCAACAACTCGTACATTTCAGACATCTCGCTGAGATCAGTTGAAAATTCAATGGACGGTCGATCGAAATTCTGGTGTCCTCCATTGCTTGTTACTTCGATCAAGTGTCCCTTCGTTGGTAGACTATCAATTCCATTATTTGCGAGATTAAACTTGTGTTCATCTATTGGGCAATACACGGATGTATTTAAGCTTTTCATACGTCGCTTGCTTTGAAGACATTCTGTGCAAATATTATGTGAGCACGGGAGACATTTGAGTTCGAATCGTGTATCCCCACAAATAGAACACTCGCGATTCGAACAGTTGATCAACCTGAAGGTCGTAGTCATTTCGCGTGAATCATGACATGCAAACTCTGTGATCGTGGAAGAAAAGTTTAGTTTCGTGAGTATCATATACTCGCCGGAATAAAACCAAGTGGTATTTATGGGTTATTTTTACGGGTTATTAACGTGTAATTATATCTAAACCGGATGCACTCTATTGTCCTGCCCCACAAGGAAAGGTCACGTACTAAATAAAGCGCCACAGATCAAAGGCTCATTTCTCCTGTTACTATGACACCTTTTTAACAAAAGAGAAGTGGAGAGAATAACTACTACCATTAACTCCCTAATTTTTGCCTTAAATTGTCAGCAACCACTGTCTAAAGATCGGTATCTTGACCAATTAAAAAAGTGGATATTTTGGACAGTTTCCATCAAGCTCATTTCGAACAAGCAAGTGAAGTATTATTTAAACGCCAGGTACAAACTTAGGATATCATATGCCTTTCACCGACAAATAGCTCATTCAAGGAATCATTTCAGGACATGAAGTATTGTAAACTTTATATTTCTTTAAATAAATACATTGTTGTTGTTGTTGCTTTCATACCGGGTCTTTAGGTAATGTAGTTCTAAAAGCATACATTTAAGAATACAGAGTTTGGATATCTGAATACTTAATTTTTTTACTCCATGTAATGCCAGATGGAATTATGCCACGCAGTTTGAGGTCAATCTGTTTTAGAAATTAAAAATGCTTCTATTTTAAACAATGCCTTCCAGACCGTAAAAATTAGACAATCGGACGTCAATATGGTCTCAGTTCTTTGTCTTTTCTGATCTGAGTGCGGCCTCTTAGCATTTCACATGATTTCATGCATGAAACTCCCACACGATCAAAAATGTCTTTGTTGGGAGATGCTGAGGCATAGTTAGACTTGCTGCAAGTCGTCCTCACGAGATTCACCGCAGAAAACGTAAAGCGACGAAGAGAGCTTTTAGACCGCGAAGCGCCATAGGATGACAGTCTGAGGTATTGTAGGCGCAATACACAAAAAGGATGAGGAGCGCGGAGCGAGGGAGAGTACCCTACCTAGCGAGGCCAAGAGATGGGAGACCGTGGGGAGGGGGATACTGCTATATGGGCTATATAGATATGTGCCACAGTGAAGGGTATGGTTTTCAAGCAGTTTACTCTGGGATAGGGTATATAAATCAGAGA